GATTAGAAAAGGAGAGATGCGCGCATGCGGTGGAAGAATTAGAAAGGTCTAAGGAGCGCGCGCGGGCGGGAATGGTGGAAGGTGTAATGGGGTTGGTTGCGAGTCTGTGCAGCTCGCAGCCCTGGAGATCCATGGGTAGGTTCGCGCTAAGGTCCGTCAGTCGTCATCTTCGAGGACGCGCTTGCCTCCTCGGCAACGGGCGCCCGCCATTCACGACTTCCTGCATCATCTCCACAATGTCGAATGCCCAGAACGGAACAGGCGCTGGTCCGCAGTCACAGGCCGAACTCGCCCAGGTAAGTTGGCGGAAGTCCCTCTGTTCTGAGTGTTAACAGCTCTGGTAGGCGTTCAAGGACCTGCAGCGAGGCGAACAGACTGCCGCCGCCTTGGAGAACCACCTCGATTCGATCGAAAAGCAGATCGAGGCGCTTTTGGCCCAGGCTGAGAAGGCTGAGCAGGAACTGAAAAACAATCCGGAAGAGGACGAGAAGCCTTCAAGCGAAGAAAAAGGCTCGTCATAATGTCTACCCAGCATGCGCCTGCTATATCATGTATACGACATACGCGCGGACATACTTTCTGAAAAGATGAGAAAGACGCCACATAACGTACGGGCATCATGACCGACGGACACGAGTTTAACGAGCAATTTGGTCGTGGGTGGCGAGGCAGGACATAAGCATACATAATGTGCTCTTAGCAGAAGGGACAGTTCCAACGATGGATTGATGGAGGACGTTCTGCGCTTCCAAATGTCCTAAACACTTGTCTATAAGCCACCGACAGTCGAAGGTTTTACTTCAGACCCCTGCGCCTTGAAGACCTCATCCAAATGGAATACACCATTACTGTCCTTCTCAACCACGCCTACCTCGGTGATGATGCCATCAATGAGCTCCGCAGGTGTGACATCGAAGGCTGGGTTCCACACACCGATACCATTCGCCGCAATGCTGATAGTTTCGACAACACCCAGATCCAATGTAACGCCATCATGTCTAGGTCCCTTGACAAGTGTCACTTCCTGTCCGGGGCGTTCTTCGATGACAATGTCGGCCCCCGATTTGGTCTTCAGGTCGATAGTAGTTCTTGGTGCTGCAACAAGGAACTTGACACCATGATGCTTTGCAAGAATGGCCAATGAATAAGTTCCAATTTTGTTGGCGGTGTCACCGTTCGCAGCCACACGGTCGGCTCCAACCACAATACCCGCGATGTTCTCGCTCTCACCGCGAAGTCGGAGTAGCGCTGCCGCCATGGAGTCAGTGATGAGAGTTGCTGGTATCTTGTCGTGAACCAATTCGAACGCAGTCAGCCTAGAGCCCTGGTTGTATGGTCGTGTCTCAGAACAGAAAGCGTGCTTCAAAGATCCGTTGCCGTGCAGTGAGCGGATTACACCAAGTGCTGTGCCATATCCAGCAGTTGCGAGAGACCTGTAGGATTAGCCGCTGGATGTTGTTGATGCAGAATGGTACAAACCCTGTGTTGCAGTGTGTCATCATGCTCACAGGTCCCTTCTTTCCTGCCTCCGTGTTCTTGACTATCCACTCTGCGCCATGCTTTCCGATACTCTCGTTATCGCTCACATCATCAACCAGCATCTTCTCCGCAGCAGACACGTACGCGTCTCTCACGGCTTCTCCACTCGCTCCCTCAATTGCAGCAGCTTCCTTGGTAATCTTTCGAAGTTTGCCTGCTGCATCTGCAAGATTGACGGCAGTTGGTCGGCTGGTTACAAGGTAGTCCAGCTTTTCTGTAACGAAGATCTCGACCTCCTCAGCTACCGATGAAAGCTTCATGTTGGTGACTTCGACTGCGAGGGCGAGGGCAGCGACTATGGCGATGGCTGGTGCACCTCGCGTCCGCATCTCCTTGATGGCGTGCCATGCATCAGTGCTGGAGTAGATGTGGTCATATTCTTCAGCATGCGGTAATTTCAACTGGTCCAGAATCTCGAGCTGGCCGCGTGAGTATTTAATCGCCTGGAGTACCATTTTGAAGGTTTCGTAGAATGGTGTGTCACTTGAATGCGTGGCAGAAAATTTCTGGATGGTGAGCGTTGGGTGTCAACAGCCCCATCGCGGACCCTGACGCTAACACGTGGGAGCCGCTCAACCCAGGCATGCGTGCGGCCTCATCTGAGTTACACGACATACCCGGACAAAACATACACGGCCCACCGCCTGGGACCGATGCATCGCTGCTACTCCACGATCCCTAACTCTCGACGCTTCGGCATGACGGCACGCGATGACGAAATTTAGCCACGTGTGGCTCGGTGCCAAGGCTAGCTCCAGCCACCAAGCAACGCACCTGCCGGTATAGGCCACGGCCTCGCTGTTCTAGCCGGACCAACATGAGCTGGCCGTATTGATAATCCACATGCATCGAGTAAAGGTCTGTATTAAAGGGGCGGACATGTATCTTGCAACTAAGGCTTCCATCTTCACTCGAAAGTACCGGATTGCAGCCCTACGAGAGCCGCAGAAGAAGGGTCCGTCAGCTGCAAGGAACCGGCAGTGAATTGACCGCGGTTGTCCCATGACGACGCCAACACTCGGACTTCACGCATATACCTACGGCCCTGCGCGCCCAATTGCTCCTCCGCACCTCCGCTTCCGCTCACCCTCTAGACATCCCTAGTTGTTCGTCGCATAAGAACTGTGTTGTCCAACCAAGACGTTTTCGGTAACCACGCCCGTCTCTAGTTCTTCCCGATAGGCGGAGAAAAAGACCCACATCCTCACTATTTATCTTCCCCAACACCACACGCAGCGCAAGCCACCCAGCCAGAGAACATTACTGTGCACATGCGCAGACCAACCAATCGCCGCATCCTACATCGCCTTACCTCGCCGTGCCTTACTGGACCCTCGTAGTTTGGGCCCGAAATCGATTGGAAGGTCAGACGAGAGAAATCGCCACGCCTCGAACAACCCCGCGCAGCTTTGCGCCAGTTATATAACGATGCCCCTCATGCCGCGCTCCAACTCGAGCGTTGGGGTAAGCACCGCAGTCATGGCCTCCCAGGAAGAGCCCATACAGCCCTCGTACCGAGGCTACGGCACAATGGCTTCCCAGCGACCTGCGCAACGCCAAAGACGACACTCGTGGCACACACGCCCCTGCATGCAGGAAGCAGAGAACTTCCAGGTCTTGGTAAGTTATACAGCGCACATGCGCTCAACAGTCTGCTAACAACGGCAGCTTCGTAACTTTCTCGTCGAACTTAACTGCCGCATGGACTTTCTGGAAGACTATGGCCACCTCAAATACGATGCCGGAGTCGAATACGCATACAACACACTGCTCGCCGTCCGCGAGTCCTGCTCGAAAATGTCCGATGGCGCAATCGAGGCCGGACGGCGGCAGGCTTCTGTCTTCGTCGAGACCTTGGAGGGTCGATACAAAGATGCGATGGAACGGAAGGAGACTTTCGGGGAGAAAGTCCTGGAAGGAATAGTGCTCATGGACAACTACCTGACCGAGTTTGAGACGCGCGCGTATGCGATAAGAGACGGATCCATCGGCTCCTATGCGCAAGAGGTCTATGAGGAAGGTCGGAGAAAGATGGACGAGGGAATTGAGATCGCAAAGGGCGTGGTAGACGGCGGTCTCGACAAGGCACGACGCGCGCGTGAAACAATCGAACTCCGAGTTGAGCATGCTGTACAACAAGCCCTAGAGCGAGCAAAGGCACACGGCCTGATACGCTACGACGACCTGCCTGAGCCATGGCGAGTCAACCCACACATTCTCAAGGGCTACCGCTTCCAAGAAGGAAAGTGGGCTTGCGTCCGATCCATCTTCGGCCTGCACAACGAGCTGATTAATATCTGGACACACCTTCTCGGATTCATCATGGTGCTCGCCATTGCCTTTTACTTCTATCCTTCGAGCACCAACTTCAGCATGTCGACCAAAGCCGATATCTTCATAGCAGCAGTCTTCTTCTTTGCGGCATGCAAGTGTCTGGCCTGCTCGACCATCTGGCACACCATGAACAGCATCTCGCACCAAACGCTGCTCGAGCGCTTCGCCTGCGTAGACTACACGGGCATTTCTCTCCTCGTCGCCGCATCCATCATGACGACCGAATACGCGGCTTTCTACTGCGAGCCTGTCTCGCGCTGGTCATACATGTGCATAACAGCACTGCTCGGCATCGGCGGCGTCATCCTACCCTGGCACCCAACCTTCAACCGAGCCGACATGGCCTGGTTCCGCGTCCTGTTCTACTGTTCCCTCGCCCTGACTGGCTTCTTGCCTTTTGGCCAGCTCGCCTACACCCGTGGCCTCGAGTGGGCGCAGTACTTCTACGCGCCCATCACTAAAAGTCTACTTGTATACGTTACCGGTGCGTTACTGTACGCGAGCAAGACACCTGAGCGCTTCTTCCCCGGTCTGTTCGATTACGTGGGCTGCTCGCACAACATCTGGCATGTTGCTGTGCTGGGAGGTATCATCTTCCATTACATGGCTATGCAGACTATGTTTACGCAGGCTCTTACGAGGGCTCAGACTAGCTGCTCTGTGTACTAGGAGCATCTCCTCTTAACGCCTTTCTCCGTACCTCTTACTTATCCTTTCTCTTCTTTCCCTTCTTCTTGTGGAGCGTTCGGCATTGTGGAGCGAGTTGGTTGTTTGCATAGGGTAGGCGTCTGACCTATAGATGTTGAGATGATGGGTAGATGAGAAGGGTCCGGTCGGCGGATGCCATGCGGGACGCTGTATCTGAACTCATATAGACTGTCGATAATTACTACATCATGAAACCCCTGAACAGTCATCCTGAACATCACCTAACGATGTGCACTTTCTACACGTGCCATTCATTTTTGCACCTGTAACCTTTATACCATTCACAACATATGTGGGCGAATATATGCCTTTTGTCATTCCGACTCCCAAATGCTTCTCTGAATAAAACTACCTACGTAACATTCCCCAAACGCCGTTCGCTATGCAGACAACCCATTCTGGCCCTACGCACATCCCATCTAATGACTATCAGGCACATCCGGCAACCTCTCAATAACATACTTCCCCTTCGCCACACTCACAATCGGCACACCCGGAATCTTGCGAATCCTCCTCTTAAGATCCCTATCATTCGTCGCCACCAGGTAAATCCTATGCTTCTGCACGCGATCCACAATACAGTCGTCCGCATACGTGCCCTTGTGCTCGCACTTGAGCCGCTGCCAGCGCTCGTCGCGGGCGATTCGTAATGCGATGCGGTATTTTGGACCGAGTTTCTCGAGCTCCGCCATTACGCAGGTGGTTATTATGGGCGTGGCTTTTGCGTATAAGAGGTCCATGAGCGCTTTGTCGAGCTCCAGCTTGGCGTGCACGGTGTGCGAGAGGAAGTTTGTGTCTACGAGGACGGAGTAGGGGGGGCCGAGGGCGGTGTTGGCTTGGAAGAAGAGGGCGGAGGAGACTTGGGGGCTGGATGGGGGGGGTTAGTTGAGAGTCGAAAGTAATGACCAGGCTCAGCTGGTCATATCGCGTGTCTTGGGCTTACATTTCTCGCTTTGCCTTGTTTTCTTCCTCTTTCTTCTTGGCTTCTAGCTCGCCGGCCATTTGGTTCTTCTTGCTGGTGTGGTGTTAGTGCTTCTGGAGCGAATGGTAGTAGGGCGCGTTGTCGCATACAGTCGTGCATCTCGTTGGCCTGGGTACATTAGCGGGAGCTCATCCAGAACATATGCTGACCATACCAACTATCCTCTTGGTCTGCGCAAACTTGCGCGTCTTCTTTTGGACACCCATATTCGCTGAGTGCAGGGCTCGTCCGATCGCGCGCAAAATTTGTGAGGGATATCAAAGCTGTATGTAGGTTTCTAATCGGTTGGCGATGTAGCTTGGATGCCGCAGTAGCTTGCGCAGGGTCGGTATTGGCGCGTCGTGGTGGTGAATGTTCGCATACCACTTTTGCTATCGATAACGCGGGCAACTTTTTGATGCCAAGAGATTCAGAGTCGTCGGACGGCCAAAGCGCCGATTGGAGGGTCACGCAAGTCCCAGAATAGCAGCAGCGTTCCTGGTAGGAGGATCTGTCAACGCTGGCCCTGCATACAGGCCGTGTTTTTCCTGCATCCCTGAGCCAGCAACGAGGTGCAGACGTCAACAGTCCGTTGCTCTGAAGAGGCCTGACACGCGGACGACTCGATCATCGCGAAGAAAGCACCAATTTCCATTACTACACTTTTCGATTTTCGATAAATGCCCATCGCTAGTCTGCGGCCACTGGCACCCACACATCACGCGAACGGGGCGCTCAGACTGCGCGTATTTGCCCAGCGGGTCCTCGACTCCGCCCCTTGTTACCCTGACCCCGTATCCGTCTTGCACTCCACCATCAGCATTTCCTCTCGTTCCCCGTCACTCGTTTCGGCGCTTCTCTGTCCTATCGATATCCCCAGCGACTGCCTCCCCTCGTCGTTTCACTGCTTTTCTTTCACCAAACCATTCCTGAAACACGTCTGTTGGAGTACACGAGCATTGAACGCTGGGTCTCCTGAACCCTTTCGAAGACTGCCCAACGGCGACCCTACCTCCGCACACACCTAGACACCACAACCACGATGCGGCCTTCCGTCGGCTTCGTGGGGCTGCTGCTCGTAGTCGCACCCACAGTCCTCGCCCAGATCGAGAACGCACCTGAACTCAACACCGTCGCGCCCGGAGGCGACGCGGCGACGAACACAGCCGAGACCTCCGCCGCCGAGACCACACAAGCAGCGACAACGAACGCTGACGAGACTGCTGCCACATCACAAGCCGCCACCACGGAAACCACCGAGGCGGCAACCACTGCAGATGCGCCCACCAGCGTAGCCGCCCAGACAGGGTCTACAAGTGTCTTCAACCTCGTAGGCGCACCAACACTGGCTGGCATCGGTATCCCAGACATCAAAGTCCCAGACACAGCCGGTGCTGCCTTTATGCAGAAGTCCGATCTCCCCGATGGAACCGTCTTCATATGTGTCGGCGCTATCCTCGCCTTTTTCGGTGCGGCAGTGCTGGCGTGGCGCGGTCTCGTTGCGTGGTCGTTGCATCGTTCCGTGAAGCGGGCGGCCATGGCCCAAAATCTCGCTGATATCAAGGCCATGTCAGCAGTGCCTGGCAAGAAGCGGGGGATGTACAATGTAGTAGGAGCAAGCTCGACCATGTCCCTGGACCACCTGAACGCCGCCCCCATTGGCAAGTCAAACAAGGCCTTCAAGGGTGCGGCTGCCAACACAGCACAGCAATCGCAATCGTCTCTCTTCTTCTCCCCAACCGCAGGTGGCGCCGCCGGTATGCGAGATTCCGTCCACGTAGCAGGGAACCGATCCTCCACCTACCTTCCCGCGGGATACTACGCCTCCGGCAATGCAGCACCCGCCGCCGGATCACCACAAATGCACATTGGCAGCCAGAACCCCAACAATCTTTCTGCCCTCTCCCTCTCCACACCAGGGAACCGTTTTAGCGCGAGATCCGGCATGTCGCCACCAGAGTCGCCTTCACTCCCTCCATCGAGAGGAGGCTACGCCCGCGCACCACCATCACGAGACGGCCTCTCCAACTACAACCGCAACAGTGTCGCAACCCTCGGCCACCAACCCGGCACCACAAGAAGCCCCGTCTACGGCCAGGACAACAACACCGTCAGCCAATTATCGCTCAATGTACCGGGTGGCACAACTGTTCCTGGTGGCCGCACGCCGAGTGGATACCTAGACGACCTCTTTGAAAACCACGGCAACGGATCCAGAGAACGATTCTAGTTGGATCTCGAACAGCAGCCCGCAAAGCAGCGCGCCGTGAGCGCGGGCAATTGTTCGCTGAAAAGCAGTCCGTCGTCCGGTTATCGTTTCTCGTATAAGCCGGGTGTGGTGGCGAGCGCTAGAGCCGTGTCTGCGAGCACTCTATCCATAATAGAAGATTGCTACCGGGTATGAGTTGTGCGATAAAGACCAAAATGCCAAAAACGCGTTATCGAGGTTGTTGTCGATAGTCAGAGAAAGAGAAAGAGAGAGGAAAGGAAGAAGCCAGAAAAGAGCGGTCTCGTCTTGTTGAACATCTCTTTGCTCATGCATGCCCATTTTCGCGCGTGCACGTTTTTTTCCGTTTTCTTGCTTTTGGGGTTCACGGCCGCAAGCTTGTGATACCAACATTATGCCGATTTTGGCTTTTCTTTTTTCGTTCTTCTGCATTGCCATCTGATTCTTGAGGTACTGTCGGGGGATTCGTTCGCCGAGTTCACTAAATCTGCCGTCTTTTACTACTATCTTCTCTTTTTTTATTATCATGGTTTCTCTTGTTACGAATGTAGGGTTGTGGAGCTCCTCCGTTGTTACTGGAGTTAGACAGGCGTTACAAAGAATCTGCGAAGGGGAGCATGCATTGGTTCCTAGTCGTTTAGCCATGGCATGCTCGCGAGTCGCGTTCTAAAGGATCGTTTTCAGCGAAGAGAGAGTGGTATCTACTATTGTAGATGTAGATTTTGCATATTAGACCCCATAATGAAGTACTATTGAGCAAGAAAACGGTCGAGGTGTTGGTTCAGTGTGGTGACTGTGGTGAGGAGCAAGGAAGGAAGCGGCGTGTGCTGTGTGATACGGTACAGCCGGTACTGGGTAGCGCTGGCGCTGGGGCTATCGTGCGGAGTTTGTGGAGTACAACATGCGATATGACGTCCCGGTGTGTACATCGTGTGCTTTGCTAATGCGTATTCGTTTAGCTGGGTGGACTCACGGTTAGTACGGGTAGCATCACCTTAGATCACAGATGAGGGACAAGACAAGTCAAGCACCTTATACACGAAAAGAATTGAACAGATCTGCGGGCCACATTAAGACAAAAGCCCGCAGAGTAGGTAACCTAACAGCAACGTAGGCTCTAGAGTGTTTAGTTTTTTATTATGTTGACGTGCAAGGGCTTTGACAGTGTTGAAAGCCAGTTTCGATGCGAAGCACACCCTTATGGTTCATCTATATCTTACACAAGTGCATAGTCCCGTACCCTTTTTGTCTATCTACCACCAAACATCGATGCTAAATTTTACAACGCTACGGCGTTGTAGTGGTTGTGTACATATGGCTACCTTGCCTTCTTGGCCATTGCCTTGCGTTTCCTCGCTTCGCCATTGAGGTTGGGCGCGGTGGCGTTCTGGATGGCGGCCTCCTCTTCAGTCAGGTTCGATGTCTCGACCAGTGGCTTGTCAAGCAGTTCCTTCTTTCCGAGGATGCGGCCGGCGGTTTGATTGTAGGCGAACATAGGAAGCTTGAATAGGAGGGTGTCGTAGATGGTGGGCTGGGGCTCCTCGTCGGGCTGGATGCTGTTAGTGAATGCACTGCGTTGGAAAGGGGGATATACGTACGTCAACAAGGTATTCGCCCTTCATGCCGTCCTCGTTCTCGACTTCCAAAAAGACATTGCCGACGGAGTCAACGACTAGAATTTTGCCGTTCTCGGAGACAATACGCTTCTTAGCTCCCTGAGGACCGGAGATGACCTCTGCCTCGACTGGGGTGCTGATGCCGTCGTCACGCGCCTTCTTGGCAGCTTGCGCCTTCTTGGGTTTCTTCGCATCCTTCTCCATGGCGCGTCTCTCGCGACGGTTGCGTGGGCCAACCTCCTCAGGTGTCTCTTCGGGGGTTTCGTTCTCGAACTGCTGGGCGTTCACAGGGGCGGCGCCGGCGTCAACTCCAGGAATGCCCTGCAGACCACTCTCGTCACCCCAGGCAGTCTTGCGCGCCTGGCGGACGAACCTCTCGGCGTAGTCCCTGCGGCGCTTCCATCCCATGACCAGGGCGAAGTAGTGGAAGCCTCCACCGAGAACGACGAGTAGACCGAAGATGACGGAGCCGAGGCCAGGGCGGAAGCGCTCGTAGTAGTAGCCAGAGCCCCTCCATGCTGGGAAGCCGTTCCTCAGGAAGTGATCGTAACGCTCGCGCTCAGGGCCCTTGAGCAGCTTTCCCACGACCGAGAGACGCTGGTAGGCGGCGGTGACCTTCTTCAGGTGCGCGTCGGTCTCCTTCTTGGACGGCTTCTTTCCCGCTGGGTTGGTCTTCGCATATTCGGTAACAAAGTTCTTGCGGGCCTTGTCCGGGTGGAGTTCGCGCGACTTCTTGCGGAGGGCCTTGGTCAATTGGTCTTGGGACGCGCTGGGCTTGACGCCGAGGAGATCGTAGAAGGTGATGTTGGCGCCGTCTGCTTTGGCGACTTCGTCACGGATGCGGAAGATTTCGTGGTCTGCAGTGTGCTGTCAGCAAGTAGCTCGCAGTTGCACATGAGCTGGAGCTGGGGAAATGCATGTGGGGAAGGCGCATATGTGGCCGCAAGCATGCACTTGAAGACGACATGCAATTGGAATACGCACCCTCTTTGGTCCAGGCAGCGGCGAATGCTGCAAAGAGGCACAAGACCAATGCGAGCAACGCGTGAGATCTCATGGCTGGGGGGTTGATCCGGGAGGTGCCTGGAAGTTTGGCTGTCTGCGAGCAAGTGATAGGGAGGCTGCAGGCTTGTGCCGCCAGATGTCCAGTAGTGCCGCGAGCCCGCTCGAGTGACGGAACGTGGCCCAATTAGTCTGACCGCTGTCGACGGGACACAGGTGTAGCAGGCCTGCGCGATAAAGAGCTGCTCTTCACAGTGCAGTCGCTCTCCTCTTTCACTCCAAGTCTCTGCAATTGAATCAAAAAATGTGGCCTCTTCACGACTTGCATGTGAGACGCGGCTGAGCGTGTGGCTGTGTCGGTGGGCAGGCGCGACCCTGAACTACGGGATTCGCGGCAGGGGCCAACAAAAGTTCCCATACGCTCAGCGACACGCAACCTCCTCAACAACTCGACTTGCACCCCATCTACACTCACTTCAGCCGCGTCAGCGCATTCACTCTCTCGCGACTCTTTCCCATCCACGTAAGGCAGCCATCTACTACATACAATTCCACCTCCCTCCCCTCTAGAGGACACATCTCCAGCCTTCCCTCGATCTCCACCACTATCAGCAGCTGAACTGACCATGACTTCCCCTAAAGATCTCGAAGAACAACAACAGACCCTCATTACCCCCGACCAGCGCCAACAAACACCACCCCCCGAAATCACGACCCACACACCTTCCGTCATGTCTCGCTTCAGCATCCCCATCGATGCCCTGACATCCAGGATGAACTTGGGCGGACGCTTCGACAGCATCCGCTCCACTTCAGTCTCCTCGCGATTCGCCAACCTGCGACCCATCTCCGAGTTCTTCGACTTCAAGCGCATCTCCAAGCCCGCCAACTTCAGCGAGGTGCAGAGCAGGGTCAACTACAACTTGGGCTACTTCTCGAGCAACTATGCCGCTGTCTTTGTCATGCTCAGCATCTACAGCCTGCTCACCAACCTAATGCTACTCTTCGTCATCATCCTCGTGGTTGGTGGTATGTTCGGAATCGGCAAGCTAGAGGGCAATGATCTCCAGCTCGGTAGCTGGCGCGCGAGCACCTCCCAGCTGTACACCACGCTCTTCGTCATCGCAATCCCTCTCGGACTCTGGGCCTCGCCCTTTTCCACTGTTCTCTGGCTCATCGGCGCAACTGGCGTCACGGTCGTGGGCCACGCTGCATTTTTGGACAAGCCCATCGAGTCAGCTTTTTCCGAGGAGGCGGTCTAGGTGGTCGGCCGCGAACTCCTCCTTACACTATGCCCCGCTGGGGAAGACCACCGGGGGGCTCGTCGGGTGTGGGGAGATACTACGAGGGGGGACAGAACGACGTGCATAGGTTTCAAGAATTGGATAGCGACGATGAGAAGGGCGGCGTTGTATTGGATCAGGCGTTTCAGCCGGCTTTGAACGGCAAGAGCATCAATCCGGATGAGCTATACTTTAATGATATAGATATTAGTGCCTGGGAGGGCAGGGCAGCAGCTTTGGGTGAGGCAACATACCAAGACCGTGGGCATCAACAGGATTATGATGAGTTTCTCGGCGACGACTTCGATGCCGCTGAATACGAGGAAATACTATTCCGCCGCGTACTCGACAAGATCCGGATAGGAAGAGCATCGGGTAATCCAAACGTATTACTCAGTCCCGAAGAGTTACGCGCGTATGATTCACGACTGAGCGGTCCAAGGACAACAGCAGTTCGCCCTGAAATCCACTCTCGGCCGAACAGTGCTTCCTACCCCAACGACCCCACAAGTGTGCTTAGAGACGATGCGACTAGCAAGCACGGCAGTTCCTCCAGATCGAAGAAAGATCAGAAGCGAAGTTCAATCTTTGGATCAAAATCAAAGGAGAAGCCCAGCAGTCGCAAACGTACCTCTACTGTTTCAACCACAGATAGCCGTGCACCGCCACCTGGCTTCGTCATACCTGGCCCAGACGGACAGCCCGTGTATGCTCCCATCAATCCTTACCAGGGTAGCCTGGAACGGGAACGGGAATCTCCACGTCCAGCGTCCCGTTCCGCGTCTGATGCTAGTCACTACGTCCCTTCGCCATCGCACGCCAGCTTTTCTCGAGAAATGCTCGGCGCGTTCCCAGAATCTGTGGTCGATTACCGTCCCACCACACCTCCACGGCAAGGTCGTTCTGTATCATCCCGGCAGGCAGCACATGAAGCCGATCTCCCACACGGGTCACGCACAAGATCGTCTTCTATTCAATCTGCTGGGCTTGTTCCGTTCCCGGTGGAGCCTTACCAGTATCACAACTTTAGTCCTACGTCCTCTACATCACCGACTTCGCCTCAACCGCAATATACAAGGAGTGTAAGTTCGGCCGTGTCTGAAGCTAGCTACACATCAGTGCCACGACGTGTGCCTGTCCCTGCTGCTGCATCGGCATCGCTTCCACGAGCGGCACCTGCAGCACGTAGCCATGTCAGCCAGTCGGATCCAGCTCCAGCTGCACAAGCATCAAGCTCTGCTACTCCAGCCCAACCTCAGGAAGCTGCCAGAGGAAGTGGCCATGGAGTTGAGAGGCGGCGGAAGAGCGGTAAAAGTAGGAAGAAAGGTTGAAGCATCTCGATGTAGTTGTACATGGCACAAATCCCCCGCTCTCCAATCTGACACTTCTGATCCAATTGATTCTTGCTTTCGTAGACATTGCATACAAGATAGTGGCCTCGAAGACGGCCACGTATGTAGTGGGCCCTTGATATTCCTGTTGTACTGATAAATATATGTATTGCCTGCTCCACTGAGGTGTGTTGTTCGATAACAGTCATTCGATCTGACTCTTAAATCAGCCAAACGTGTCTCGAACTGGGCAAGGAGCGCCTGCAGGAACGGGTCTGTCCCCTCAATCCAGCCCTTAGCACGATTTGTTGAATGCCATATTGCGTGTGCTGCATCTGCATCTTGCAGCTGCATCTGGGTCTCGAACACTTGCAACGGTTTTCTAGACACTTATGCGACAAGGGTACGCGCACAACGGCCGTTGCATAACGGCTGTTTCGATCGCGATCACGTCAAAAGTCACGGGTAGTCATCAAAGAATAACCAATATTGATGAAAGAAGTTCTGGTCACCTGTGTTGCACTGCCCTCGCGTAGAGACGAATAATCTCCGCGATTTTCATGGTTCACGCACATCATCGCACATGTGCACAAGTGGGATCTGAGATGTCGCATAAATCGGAGACTGGGGGTACCTGCAGGGCTACGTCCGGCACGCCCAACCACCAAAAAGCGGTCAGTTAGTCTGCGACGATCATTCCTCTGCTTGCTCCACAAGTTCGCGCACATCTTTAAGCTGGCCAAAGTTCCTTCCCTCATCAGCATTCCCCAACCGTGCCATCTTTTGTGGTCTTTTTCTACCCGTCGACGTGTTCCTTACTAGTCCTTGACTCATTTTACCCACGTTTTCCCGTTCGGAGTCGTCGTTGCGCACGGTGGCCTGTGTTGTCATAGTGTGAGAAAGTTGGGTTGCTATAGCCTCGAATTTAGTTGGCTAGTAGGGCGCGCGCGCGCATCAGGCCAAGGCAGGGTCAAGGAAGCAGGGAAGAACCTGAGCTGAAGTGAGGCAAAAGAGGAGGCGATTGAAGCCCAAGAGACCCACATCCCTTCACCGGTTGTGTGTTGCGACTGCTCTTCTTCTAGTCCACTGGATACTGTTGCGCTGGCTTCAAGACTCACAGTCATAGAGTCGTTGTTGTCGCTAAACCTCATCACCGCGCATATCAAGAGTTATCTTGCGCTGCATGCGCTGGGCGGATCAATACACTTTACACCACCGCATCCCGACGTCTGTCGCTCGCGCGCATTCATCCCGTCGCTCATCAACATCAACCCTCGGAGTATCAACAACACCCCTTTCAGCCTCCATACACCCTAAACCAACCCTACTTCTCCCCTCCTCAACCCACACCCCACGCCCCACCACCATGGGCTACGGCAGCAGCTCCTGGAACCCCTTCTCAACAGGGGGCTCACCCTCGCGACGCTCCTCATCCGGATACCGCCCTGGCTACGCCTCGTCGTCGTACTCGGCGTCCTCGCGCCACCACAGCTCCACGTCGCGCTACAAGCGCTCACCCCGCGACTCGTACATGCAACACCTGTACAAGAAACTGCAGCACTTCCTCCGCGAAATCTGGCGCTACGCCCAACGCCACCCCTACAAAGTCTTCTTCATGGTCATCATGCCCCTCGTCTCCGGCGGCGTGCTGCATAAACTCGCTCGTCAGTTCGGCGTCAACCTACCTGAGATGGGCGGACCGGGTGCGAGAGGCGGGTACGCTGGCTCAGGGCACACCAACACCAACAACTACAACACCAGGGGCGCCAGCAGCAGCGGCGGCTACTACGGCAGCCAGGGCTACGGCTACGAGAACACACGGAGCGCCCCGAGTAACGGCGGCGGAGGCATGATGGCCGGTCTCGGCAACATCGACATGCAGAGCGTCTCTTCTGGCATCGGCGGCCTGGCTAGTCTGGCGAGTATGGCAAGCAAGTTCATGTAAAGAGTTGAAGAGGAGCTGACTCGAGCTTCCTCTTCTAGGAACGGTCGAGAATGTCCTTACTATTACGAGGGTGGTTGGGAATCTGACAAGAGGGGGAAGTGATTGGTGACATGAGGAGCAGAGGAGTGATCCTCTGCAACAGGCTTTACCGCAGATTATGAGTGAGGAGATGGCGAGGAAGTGGGATTATTGGAAGGGGCTGTGATCTTGATGGGGAAAAAGGCGGTATTTTTTGTTTTTGCCTTTGGGCTTTTCTTATTGCACGACGTTACGACGGCGCGATGTGGGGGACGTTTGACGACGTTTGCTCCTGTTCTTTTCCGTTATGGCTTGTTTGCCTTTCTTGTTTTTTTCGTTAGAGATATCCCTCCTTTGCGTAGGCTTGGACCTGCCTGGCGTTCAGATGCAAATCAAAACTTGCTCTTTTTATACCTCACCACTCACCATGCGTGAGCCTAGCTCACATCATGAAGGCTGTGAAGTGCGTGTAGTAGATTATCCAATCTAAACCAACAGTGAAAAGGCACATAGGTAACCAAAGAAACTCCAAGGATATCGTCACTCATACAGTCCACACCACCACCCCCCTCCCCCCATCCTCCTCAAACCCCAATCAACCACTCACCACATTAGCAAAAACCTTCGCCGCCAACCCACTCAACAACCTCGCCTTATCCGCCTGCGGCATCTCCTGAAACACCGCATACACACTCTTCCCCTTCGTATCCCTCACAGCCCCCAACCGATTCCCCGCCACCGCCCCCGCAACCATGCCCGGGAAATTCGCCACAATAAACCCCATAGCCCCTCCACTCAACCCACCTACTATACTCCAAAACTTCGACGTCGGATGCGCGTCCTGATCCGCCATCCCCTCTTCCCTAAGCATCTCCTCAAAGATACCACCGAATTGCTCTTCAGAGAAACGGTTATGGGATTCTTCCGTGTTGCCGGCGGGTGCGCTGCCAAAACCAAAGGCTGACCATGGGAAGCCTTGGGCGAAGCCTCCGCCTGTGCCTGCGCCCGCACCCGCATTTCCTGGGATCTCGTCTTCGAAATCAGAGTCTGGTGTTGCGGTACTGCCCGTGAAACTGTTGTAGGTGCGTGCGGCGTCGTAGTCGCGGCGCCGTGTCGCGTCTGAGAGCGTGTAGTAGGCGTCGTTGATTTGCTGGAAGCGCTTTGTGCGGCTTGCGCGCTCGGGGGAGTCGGAGGGGACGCGGTCGGGGTGGTGCTTTAGCGCTGCTCTGTGGGGGGAGGGTTAGAGGTTGAGCAGAGGGAGAGGTTTGTGGGGTGGGTGAGGTGGTACTTTTTGTAGGCATCGCGGATTTGCTGTTGGGAAGCTTTTGAGTCGACCTCGAGGGTTTTGTCTATGGTGTTGTATGAGCTTTCGGGTAGGAGGTAAAGGTTTGTGTGCGCATACAGTAGTCTGGTTGGGGAGCTGCGTGATGTTAGTTGGACGTTATCGCTAGGCTGCTGTGTATCTCACCCATGATGTTGGCTGGTTTCGGAGATTGGAATTCGAGCTCGAGAGTATTGTTTAGATTGATTGTTGAGTATGCGATCAAGGCAGTGAGCAAAGTTCAGGTAAGTGAGGTTGTAGGTTGTGGGTACAGTGGTGCGAAGTTCAGGGACAGGTACGCGGGTGGCAGCAATGACGTAGACGCGAGAGGTCTAGCCACATTGGCTTCACGTTTGCACGTGAAAAAGCAAACCTGCAACCATGTGCTTGGGAATGCTTGCAGATCGTGCGATATACACGGATGCATCACAGGAATTTAAGCTTTTTGTCTACTTTGTCACAATTCGAGATGAGCAGAAGTATCGGACGAAGAAAGATTAACATATCTTGCCTACCAATTGTGGTAGTCAGACGAGCTCAGCCTTCAATCTTTAGGTACATAGAATGGAATAGTAATTAGTGTTAAGCCGATGCAGCGCACGTCCTAGCTAGGTATCATACAACAAACCTCGATCAACCCCTCCCACAATCTCAGCTCTCCAATGCCTCCAAGCCATCTCTTCAATCATATCCAATAACACACTCCCCCCAGATCAAAAGTATCAACAAAGAAAAGGATCTCCTCATAGGGCTCCGTACAAGGAAGAGGCAATACAATGTCAATTGTATCTACCGCCTGAAACTCGAACTTAGGCCGGCGAATGCGTCAGGAGAATGCCGTCCACTCATTAATCCAGAAAAGTCCACGCTCTCGTTGCTGACATGTCTGAGGCCGGGCGTTTGTGCGGCGGAAAGTGCTTGTCCTTGTGGTGCGCCGGTCATGTTGCCAAAGGGGTTTGCACGTCCAGGTACTTGTGCAGCGGGCGTTGAAGCTTGCATAGGCGCTGGCTGGGCTTGTTGCTGCGGCGCTTGCTGAGGTGCCTGCTGGGGCTGGTTGTATAGCGAGAGGATCGAGGCGTTCTTGTCGAAGGGATTGGAGCTTTGCTGTTGGTATAGTGCCTGTTGGTTCTGGAAACTCTGTTGCTGGGTCTGATAGTTTTGTTGTGGATCCTGGTTTTGGAAGCCTGATTGTTGGGTCTGCCACGGGTTCGCCGATTGGGGGGTTGAGATCTGGTTGTACTGCGGCTGTTGTTGTAGCTGTTGCTGTGGCTGTGGCTGCTGTGGCTGTTGCTGCTGCTGCTGCTGCTGCTGCTGCTGCTGTTGTTGTTGTTGCATTTGCTGCGACCAAGGATTAGGCATCTGTGGCTGCGGCGGAGCAGACATCGGCTGAGACATCTGTTGCTGTTGCATCGTTGGTTGCCCAAATGGATTTGAACTTGCCAGGTTGGTCGGAGTAAACATCTGGCTTTTCGAAGATCTCAAGAACGGATTTCCTGGGCTTGAGGGATTGGACATGGACTGATACTGTGGCTGTTGCGGTGCGAAGAAGGCGCTGTATTGTTCAGGTATTTGCGGCATCGGTGGCGGAGTAAACGACTGGTTGTACGGATTCGTTTGAGCGAAAGACGAGGGTGTTGAATCAGCGTAGCCTCCCGTTCGATTCGGGAATAAGGGTTGTTGAGGTTGTTGAGGTTGCTGTTGCGATATCTGCATGCCTTGAAACGTCTGTTCGAGGTTTTGCTGCTGTTGATCCCATGGGTTTTGTTGATAGCCGAAGTTTTGCTGCTGCTGCTGTTGCTGGGGGACCTGTTGCTGGGCATATCCTTGAGGCGCCTGTTGCTGAGCATATCCCTGGGGCGCTTGTTGGAGGAATGGATTGTAGGACGTTTGCTGGGTCTGAAGAGGAGCGAGTTGAGTTTGCTGTTGAGGAGCCTGCGCGGGAGCGTCTAACGCATCGAACGGGTTCGTAGAAGACGCGGTAGGGGGTGCGGTGCTGATTGTGTCGAACGAAATGCCATTGGACGCAGGCTGCGAGGCCGGTGTCGGTGTGCTTCCTCTCGATCTGCCAGGATCCTGCTCTCCAAGTCGAATCAAAGCCTCCACTGCCCGGTCCAGATTCCCATTCAGCCCCTTCAACACCGTGGCGTTGCGCTTATCGTCTGGGAAGCCCATATCCCGAAGAGTTGTGAGCTTCGAATCCAAGCCATCGCCCGAGGTGTGTATGTTGGAGCCAAACACTCTGGAAGGCTTGTTGATGCGTGGCGGCGACTGGTCGTGTTGACTGAACCCTCCCAGACCTGGTGACAGCGGAGGAGTGAGATCCCGTGTCGTGGAGGCCTTTCGCAATCCAAATCCAAAGCGGCCGGTGGGCTTCGGCGGTAATGGCGGTGGCCGGTCCTCAGAGCTCGTGCTGCCGGTATTCTGTCGCGTGCCCGGTCGCGAAGCGTCCAAGTATATCCTCTGCTCGTATTTGGCCCGTATGTATCTCTCCATGGCGCTGTCTACTTCGTCGATGTCGATGGGTATGGAGGGCTTGACGTTGCGCGGGTTATACGTCTTGTTCGACTCGAGATTGCCAATGCGCTTCATGTTCTACACAGGTGTCAGCAATCCGGTATGCACCGCGGAGGACTAACAGGTCGTACGTCTACTTGCGCATTGTCCCACTTGTCCATACTCAAGGACTTGACCTTGGAGATGTGCGTTCCCAGTTTCCGATGTAGGGCCGCGCATCGCATGCACAGGAAGATGCCCAGCTACAGCAGACGTCAGTTTGGGCTTACGGTCGAGGGACGATCGGTTCGTAGAGGAGTACGGTTTCGCTTCGTGGTATGGGTAGACTTACACTCCAGCTTGCCCATCCTGTATGACCTGGTTAGCATCTGAGAGCCCAACGAGATGCGCCTGCCCTACGTACCTGGATTCCGCGCGCCACAGTCGGCGCATGTCCCGTTTCCAGGGACCGTCTTGATGAGGTCCTGCAGCGCACGCTCATTACGCGCCTGCTGGCGTTTGTTCAGAGCCGACGCCATGTCGTCCAGTCTGGAAGGAGGAAGCGGTTCGGGCGGAGGTTGAAGATCGGGGAGCGGCAGAACGTGCACGAGAGCAATACGCGCGGGGAAAGGGGGCAGGACGGACGGCAAGAGGGCGCGTAGCTAAGATTACCAGAGAATGAACAAGTCCATCGCAAAGCAAAAACATGAGCACAGAAAGGGGAGCTCGTAGGGCCCTTAGTTGACACGCGCGATGACGAGTAATGCATCCGTTCCACTTCACACATGGCATCCGCACAAGCTCCAGAACCCTGCGTTTTTGGTCTATATACGGCATCATGCCCCTGTCTGAGCTTGCTGCCCTCCGCCCAAAAGTACATCATCGACCTCCCAACCCGATGGGCGTGGAACAGCTTACGACAGCGCATGAACGACGTGCAGGCTTGGTGGCGCGACTCGTAGACGCTGCCGATCTGGTTTTGGTAAGGCCGAGGCCGCCGTCTTCGTTGCCGCAGATACGATCCAAGGCTGACAGACATTGCCGTCGTCAGCTCCCTGGTACTCTAGAGAAGGAATCTTCCCAGCTATTCAAAAGCATACGCAAAGCACACACAGAAGCGCACATTCAACACTCTCAGCGCTGTTCAAAAGAATGTATGGTCACGCAGGTGGCTTCAAGCAACATAGAAATCGTAGCAAAAAGCCTAAAAGTGCCAGGTATTGTTCTAGTGACGCAAATATGACAACTATAGAGATGAAGAGCTCAGTATAGCCGTTGATTAATCGTCCATTGTGATTTTGTGAATATGGAAGGAAAGCTGAGGCCGAGCTGCGACGAGCTTTTCAGGCGCGCGGGCAGCGCCAAGCCATGCTGACAAAGACGGAGGGTCCGAGCGGGCTAATTCTTCAACACGTAAAACCAAGCTCTGGCTCGTTCTTCTGCTCATCAACAACCTCGCGATGCACAGCTTGCGGCACGTGCTCGACACCGAATGATTCAATGTTTGTCGTTCTGGGAGTCGTCGCTGCTGTGCGCGTTGTATGCTACTACCCCACTCTTGCCTGCTCCCTGGCTCGTCTTCATGGCCAGGAAGCAACTTTTCTCTCTGTGGGAGATTAATATTGGTTTTTAGCAGAGCCGTGTCTTCTCCACCCTACCCATATTCTTCTGTGGATGTGTAGGACTATAATTGGACATACATTCTTTGTCAGTTCATACTCTGTGCTGATTGTTGTGACGATCCGAGCTTCGATGTGCAGCGGACGCTGTGCCTGAACCATCTTCTGAGATGATCAGGCAGATGGCAGCTCCGTTGATCGGGCTTCGAGCTTGACCACGCATTCGGCTGTTGTAGTTTTGCCCTCGTCTACGTTTCGTGGTCGACCGCATCTCGCTGAATCAGCTGAATGCTGAGCTCACTCTCAGGGCAACACCACGACGTGTCATCATGACACGTTGAATATAGGACTAAGCTGGCCAGCTGAGATACCTGCAGCGATGCATTCAGAGGCTTCTGTCTCCAAGCTCAAGCAATAACATACATATCCATTTCTGCGCTTGCGCCTTGGGATCCACAGAATACCGCAGCTCATAGATGCGCTTTGGTCACCTCATCCCCTCGGAACCGCTTTGGCCAGATACCCTGCTTACCAGGCGACAGTATGCCATTAGGATCGACAGCGTCCTTGATCGTCTCGACAAATCTTCGGTACGCGTGATCGTTGAAGTCGTACAATGACGCGACACGATCTGTGTAGAAGTCAGCGACAGTTCAGAGAAGAAGACCTAAGACGTACCCATGGTGTTGACATGGCTGCGATACTTGCTGTATCCCCTCTTCTTCCCCGCCTCAAACAGGCCATCAAAGATGTTCTGCACCGCTTTCCGATGCGTCGCGTTTGTCTTGTCAAACGTGAACATGTTGACGAAGATGACTAGATGAAGGTATCAACGTCAGTGTATGTCATCATTCACCGCTTAAGAGTCCGATCTTACCATGACGCTCATGCATAAAGAAGTCGCAGAATAAATCAAAGTTATCCGCCTCGCAGATCTTCTTCGCCGTCTTGACCCAGTCCAGAATCTCTTTGCCCTTCGAAGGTATGATAGGGCTGTAGTCGTAGTGCGCACCAATGCCACCCCCGGACTTTGGCAGGCGGAACTTCACCATAGGAAGCGACCAGAGCGTCGGTATCCCAACAAAGAACCCACCATCCATCTCAGGAACAGACGTAGGATCCAACGTCTCTCCATCCGGCGCAGAAAAGATCTTACCAACCAACCGTCCCTTCGGCGCTTTCCTCCCAATAATCTTCTTTAGCTCGTCGAAATGCGCTTGAATCACATCCCTCGCGCCATACAGGCCGAACTTGGCATTCCAATACCCCAGATCGAACTGCTTCTGCAACTCCTTGATCCTCCAATCCGGTATCGAAGTGTCGTGTGGCCAAAAGTCTTCTCTCGGGCCCATCATGCCCAGCCATTCCGTCACATTGGACACATACACAGTGTTGGGAAGCAGACCATCTCGTCGCAACGGCCCGAAGATATCGACAATTGTTTCCACGTCTTCGAAATCTGGCATGTCGAACGAGCAGGACATGAAGGCTTGGGGTGCGGGTGTGAGCCAGATACCTAGTTTAGTCACGATACCGAGATTAGACTGCAAGAACAGGCCTTCGATGCTAGGCCCGAACGAGAACTTGGAGAGGTGTGCGGATGGCGAGTTGGACATGGCGAACTGGCCTGTTCGGACGAGCTCGCCGTTTGCCAGCATGGCTTCCACGCCAGCGATGTGTTGGTGGTGGGTCCCTGTGGGTGTGAAGCCTGTGCCGCGGTCGATTGTGTTTCCGATGACTGAGCCCCAGCCGAGAGAGGGCACGGAAGGCCAGACGTTGAGCTTGTTCTTGACGCAGTAGTCGTAGAGATCGGTGAAGGTGACGCCTGGTTCGACGACGGCGTACGCGTATTCGGAGTTTACTTCGATGATCTTGTCCATGCGGTGGAGGTCGAGGGCTACGCAGCCGGTTACGCGAGGGGCTGGTCCGCCGTATCTATTCGGTGGTCAGATGACTTGTAGCTGGTTTGTACATGGGAATGTGCTGACCCGAGATTCTTTCCTCGTGAGAAAGTCCATACAGGAATGCCAAATTCGTTCGAAATTTTCAAGACATCTCGTAGCTCCTCGATGTTCTTTGGGCGTACGGCTGCGCTGGGCATCTTGCGGATTCCTTCTGCCTCGTGCAACTCATATGGGTCAATGTACTCGGTCAATGCATCACCTGAATACACCTGTGCATCACCAACAACACCCTTATATTTCGCGACTGCCTTGTCAAACGCATTTCGGTCAACGCCGGGTGGCAGCACGGACTTTAGCGGAACAGTGATAGAGTCTTTAAAGAGGTTGAAATGTGTGGACTGGTAGTCCGGGTCGATGTACATTGGTGATGGTGTCATTGTGAAAATTGTAAGATGTGTGTTGCAAAGACTAGACCCAGACTTCCACGATATTTCGTTATTAATGTATCCTGCAGGAACAAGCCTTCTCGGCTGGGTGAAGACATGGGTGCCGAAACGCTAGTTGACATGCGTGAAGGTGTCGTTCCCCACATTGCGGAGAAGACCCCACATCTACCCTTCTCCAACGTTTTCGGCCCTTGTCGTGCCGCGACTCCTCCTGATGAGAATACCCAGATATGACGTTTCCAAAACAAGCGCATCTACGACATCTATATTGTACAGTGTAAGCATGAGGGGTACTGGCCATGCATCTCCCTACAACGCCGATCTGACATTCTTCTCCCTCTCAATCTGCTCTTGATCCATGATGACAACACCCTTTCCTTTCATCTTACCGCTATGCGCCAGCTCTACCAACTTCTCAATCTCACCCAGTCCGTGAAACGAACTCGTCTGCACCGTAATGCCATGCTCAGCAACCAAATCCAGCATGTCCCGCGCCTCACTCAGGTTAGCAACAGCCGACCCCCTCACCCTGATATCCCTCAAAATGAGTTCATGGAACGGGATAACCACACCATCCGGCTGCGCAAGTTGTATCATCGTCCCATGCATCTTCGTCACCGCACAAGCCAAGGCCGCCGACTCCTTCGCATCACTAACGTTCAGCGTAGCCTTCACCCCCTCATTCCCCGTACAAGCACGCACAGCCTTGATAACCTCTTCCATCCCAATCCTCGCATCGATAGCAACATCCGCACCACACAGCCTCGTTAGTTCCAATCCCTCATCCCTCGCATCAATCCCAATAACATTCAATCCCATGGCTTTTGCAAACTTCACTCCAAGATGGCCCAACCCACCTCCACTACCCACAACAGCAATCCACTCCCCCTTCCTCACACCCGACAAAACAATCCCGCGATAAACCGTCACGCCCGCACAAGCCAGCGGCGCCGCAGTAAGAAAAGAAACATTCCGCGGTATCTTCGCAGTCTGTCTCGCATCCACCTTCGCGTACTCGGCGAAAAACCCATGTCTCGTTATACCAAGAAACCCCCCAGTGTTTTGACAGTACTGAGGACATACCGATGCGTGTGGTCCTCCTGTGCATTCGGTGCATGTACCGCAAGCATCATACAAGATCCCGGCCATCACGCGGTCGCCGACTGCGAACTGCGTTACAGACGTGCCAGTTGCTACAACGGTGCCTGCGCCCTCGTGAGAGCCGGTGCAGGGAAGTGGTGTGCCCATTGCGCCGGAAGAGACCATGGAGTCTGTGTGGCAGAGGGAGGCGACGGCGACTTTTATGAGGAGGTCGTGCGGTGCAAGTTCTGATGGGACGGAGATTTCGTGCACCTTGTAGGGTTCGTTGAAGGAGATGACTTGTGCGGCGCGCATTTTGGATGGGAGGGAGGGATGGGTCATTGTGGGTGGGGATTGTTGCTGCGGACTGGGACGCTGATTTGGTGGGTTTTGGAGAAGATGAGTGTCTGGGTTTGGATTGGGGATTGGATGGCTTGGGTGTGGTTGAGTTTACGGGTGGTGAGATATATGAATATATGTGTAAGAAGAAATGATGGGTGGATATGTATTTTGAAAGTCAAGATGTGATGTTGTTGGAGACCTCGGGAGGGGTAAGTGGTGATACCGTATATCTTTATCCGGCACATTCCATCTAGCAAGTGCCATCTAGTACCTGAGCAGAGCGAGAGTACCGCCATGAAAATATACACTCAAAGACAATTATGCGAATCACAACAGCATACACCGATCAAGATGTAGTATAGAGTGGAATTAAGCATTACACACCTGACATCCTCCCCCAAACCACGCCCAACTTCCCCTCCTCCACCAACCTACTCCTTCTTCTCAAACAAATAATGACTAACCCCCCACGTATCACCCCCATCCCACCTAAACAACTCCGAACAAGCAAGATAGAAAACCTGCCACCTATTCCACCACGTCAACGCCCCCTCCTCACCATACGTCTCCACAAGGCCCTTCCAAATACTCTCTTTATTGCTCAACATGGTCGTCAACCAATCCTCACACGTCTTGCTGTAGTGCATACCGCTAACCCACCACTGTCTCTTAATCTTGAGGTCGTCTTGGAAGAAGAGAAGGAGGTCGGCAGAAGGCATGGTACCTCCCGTGAAGAAGTGCTCCGTCATCCACCCGCCTTCGAAATCGTAGGGCGTGTCCTTGTGCGCGAAGATGTGCACGAAGAGTTTGCCGCCTGGTTTCAAGGCCCGGCTTACTTTGGCCATCAACAAAGAATAGTTCTTCATGTGCTCGAATAGCTCGATGGAGAGGACGCGGTCGTAGACTTCGGGGTCGAATTCATGGTCTACCACGTCGCCGGTTACGACAGTGAGGTTCTTGAAGCCTTTGGAGGCGGCGACGGAGTCGATGTGTTGTTTCTGTGTGCGCGAGTTGGAGAAGCCGGTTATGCGGCTGTTGGGGAAGATTTCGGCGAGGTAGAGGGAGAGGGAGCCCCAGCCGCAACTGTGGATGGGGATGTTAGTGGGGCACGTGATATCTCGTGTTCGTAATATGCCGTCTTCGAGATCTAGTGCGGAAATGATCGAAATTATGAAGGAGAGGATGAAAAGAACGAAAAGGACGAGAACTCACCCCAGATCCAAAACCGTCATCCCATCCTTCAACCCCGCCCTCTGCACATACGTCTCCATCATCCTCACCTCCGCCTCCCCCAACGTCTCCCCACCTTTCTCATACAAACACGCAGAGTACTTCATCCGCGGGCCCAGCATACCCTTCAGCACACTCGTTCCGACTTCATAATGCTGCTCATTCGCGGTCTTGGTCTCGATGGCAATGGGTCGTTCGCGGAGTAGCTCCACGTATTTCATCTTGGACTCATAGCTCGCCTGGAGGGATGTGTTGGCGATAGACGTGAGGCGGTCGGCGAGTTGGCGCCGGATGCCGACGCGAATGACCGGGTGGGGGAGATATCCATTGTCGATGAGGGGGTTGATGATGTCGTCCGAGTTTACGAGGTCTGGGTTGTTAGCTTGGGGTGGTGGGATTGTGGTAGTAGGGGAGCTGTACTTGAGATGTAGTTCATGGTGGGCAGCTGAAAATCACAAGAAAGGCAGCTGTGCCGTAAGGGTAGGGGAAGCTTCTCTGCTATGGAAATGAAGCGGTTGTCTTCAAATTGCCGTGTTTTGAAGCTACGTATCACGGCTTCCACGGCTTCCAGCCCATGTCGTTCGCGCTTTCAGAAGGTGTCTCGTAGTGCGCTCAATGCGGTTTAGTTTAGGCGTGTGATGACGTAGACGATATCACCAAATAGTGTGCAGAGTCAGCACCTTCAACAAGACAATGGTCAGCGAGGAGAGCATGACGCCTGTCGTGGTTCACGTCTATGCAAATGAGAATGCCGAATGCGTAGGATCAAAGTAGCCAATCAGGAGATGCGCATGCCGCGACGGGAGATCAGCGCGCTAAACGTCTGCGGGTGATGCATGCCACGCTATTCGACGCCTTTCATGGTCTCACGTGGGTGCAAGCATGGTTCGATGGGCCTGGTGACGTGGTTGGTGAGCTACTGTTGCTTTGATATCAAGGCGGACGTTGGCATGGCTCCCGATCACATGACGCAACTACGTTCCGAGCAGACATGAAGGAAGACAAGTATCGAGTCGCAACTCACTGTAATAAACTATCAACATGGCCATATTCCGAAACGCGCAAGATGCGACTAGAAGTGGGATTATTTATGTGCGCCTATATCTCATTACATCCCCATCTCAACCCAGCTCGCGAAGAAGCCCCGCCGACCACCTTCCGCATGGTCTCGCTGGCAATATCGCATCCCCTCTCTTCTGAAACATAGTCCGTGCACATCCATATTGACCGCGCTCACAACCCCGTTCCCTTGTCTCTTCTCCAACGCACCAGATCCGCATCCAAAAACTCCGGCTGTTCATTCAACTCAGCAGCTTTCCCATCCAGTCCTGCCTTGTTATGGAGCCATCTCTTATATAGTATAAATCCAATGGCGACCAACAGTAGTATCGCTGCAACGACTGCAGCTGATCCTATGCCTGCTTTGGCGCCTGTACTGAGGCCGTTTTTTGGAGGATCAGGAGCTATGTCGGAGGATGTTGCAACTGGTGATGACGTCGCGGAGGGGACTTGAATTTGATCTAACGGCGATGCATTCGTTTTCGCGGGATCTGATTGCGGTGATACTGTCGTTAATCTTGGTCTTTCTGTTGCCGGACCCGGTGTTTCCATTGCTGCAAAGCCGATATCGAATTTCGAGGCCAGTGTAGACGCGTAGTCGGAATCGAAGTGGACGAGGTCCGACTCCTGCCAGTAGACCAACATTGGTTGCATGATGACTGTCCCGCTGGAGATGATGGAGGGCTTTTCGGGTATCTCTTGCCCAGCGGCATTCGTTGGCAAGGTCGCGTCCGCCACGGTATACGCGGTGATGGGCGTATCTATGGCTGATACACACTCTGTTGCGTCAGATGCCGTTGCCATGTAATCACTATCGAGGGTGTTAGCAAGAGCAATCCCAGTCAAGGCCAGGCCAGGTGTATATCCGAGGTAATCGCCTCGACAGCCAAAAGATCACACGTACTCTCTACAACAAGCAGCTCCCCATGCCCTTAATCCGCCCAACGTCCAATCCGGCGTTCGGAACTCGACTATCTGCTTTATCTGATAGCCCCTAACACATGAGCCCGGGCTATGCGTCATGGTGGTATCGGGTTGACAGTAGAGGGGAATGAAGTTGTGGACACGGCTGGGTTGACCCGGGTCCTGAAACTTCGTGCCTTCGGTACATGTCGGTTTGAAAGTGAAGGGAGTGGTGAGCGGCGGGACAGTACTGAATGTGTTTACTAGCGGATATTGGTCTCCTGATACTGTATAGATGGCAAGAGAGGCATCATCGATGTTTGATGACATGATAGCAACTCTGTGGACAACAGTTCCCGGATGGACGTAGAAACATTGTAATAAGCCCACGTCAAGTATTTGCCAGGGCTGGATACATTGCTCATAACGGGTCGGTGGCGACGTTCCAAATGCGTAAAAGAGCGCGCCGCTACCCTATGCGTGGTGGCTCGATGAGCCGCATCTGATTTGTGAAGGGAGCTGTGCCACATGTGTGCAGGATTGAGGGCGTTGAGGGACGTGCCACGTCTTTGTCCAGGAACTGTACGTTCGATATTGCTGGGCTCTAATAGGTCGACGGCGATTGGCAAAGGGCGGGAAAGCACACAGGGATCTACTCCATGCGGCATTGGCCAATGTTACGGGATACGGTATCGCTTGCGTGCCTGAAAAGCGCAATCCTTGCTGTGCACTACGATTTTAGCAAGCAATACATCGAGAGTAGATACGTGTTGCGTACGCGTTGCAGAGAGAATGTCCACCATCATTATACAAGCTTCCTCCACCCATGCATGTCAACCCAGGATAAACCTGAAGACCCTGGGAAGCCTATATCAACGTTAGGTCACACAATCTGCATCATTCCATCTTGATGTAGTCTGCAGGCCTATTGAGCCTTTTCCTGTACGGGGTGCACATGGACTCAGCACCAATCTTTCATCCTCTTTCTTCTAAGCATCTCTAACACAATCGGCCTATAGCAAATCGTAAATCCGAAGGCTTCCCAGTAGAGGGAGCGTACCTCATCCATTCTGTCGGCTAAGCCCTCTGCTTTTGCACCCACTCTGGCTGCTCATTTTGTTTAGCGAACTTTTGATCAAGGGCGCGTTGCTTCAAGACTTTTTTCCTGTACATTACAAATCCAGCAATACCCATCAGTATTACCGCGATGGCAGTTCCTAAGCCTATGCCAGCCTTAGCCCGAGCATTGAGCCCAAAATCGGAGTTATCGGCCTTTTCTTTGGAGTTTGGTGCCACCGATGATGACGACGATGTTAATGTTACCGAGGTGAATTTGGTTCGAGCTGACGGTGCTGCCGTGTCTTTCGTAACGGCCATTGTTGCAGTCGACGTAAAAGAGGAATCAGATGACGTGCTTTCTGCAGTAACAGTTGCGGGTTCTGCGCTCATGCCTATGGCAAACCTCTCTTCCAATGTCGCCGCGTACTCGGCATCAAATTTTGATAAGTCGGATTCCATCCAGTAGATTAGCATATTCGAATCTACTATTTCTCCCCGGCTGAGTATGGTAGTGGTGGTTCTATGCTCACGGCCAGTTCCGGCCCAGGGGTCCAATGCGGTGATGGGTGTGATGAACGATGAAAAGCAGTAAAAGGAGCCCTCGATGGTTTCTGTGTTCGTCCAACCACTGCCATCGGTGTTAGCAAAAGTGCGCTTTGCTCAAGTCATGACTCTTTTGTATATAGCCGTGCCCTAGGTTCATGGTACGACGTACTTTTTAC